GGCGCAAATTTTACCCAAATTTTTATGTGATGGGTGTAGATGAAGATCGTGGGATTTATTATTTTCCTAATAAATCCGAAAGGGATACTGCAAGCAATGATCATGCAGAACCCGGCAGGTGCTAAAAAGAATATGGCAGCGACTGCTGCGCTATCATTGCCTGCACTCAATATCTATCTTCAAAAATGTTGGTAACATTTTCACCTGTTTCCAGTTGGAAGCAGGTGAAAATATTTGTGATGGATGTAGACGAAGATCGTGGGATTTATTTTCCTAATACATCAATCATACAAAAAGTGCACATGACCACCCCAATATTAGATCAGATTTCAGCACATTGGAGAGGCTGCTGTGGGTTGACTCTTCACTGTTCTTTGCATTGGTTGGCTGCTTATTGCTTTCTGTGGTATGTTCCTTAAAGTGGAACTTCAGTTATTGTAAACATGAACCCTTGCAGTGGGGCTGCCCCTGTACTGCAAGGGTTAACTGCTGGTTTTGATCTGGGGAGATGTGCTCACCTGATCCTCGGTCCCGCAGTGGTATACACTCACCTCTCTCCCCCTATGTCCCTTGGTGCCCTCGGGTCTAATGCAAGTGAATGGACCTGCATTAGATGTGATTACAGCAGCGCAACCCTGGGGGGGGGGGGGAGGTGGAGAAGAGCCTGCAGGGACCATTCTAGCAACTAACGGGACAGAGGATCTTATCTTCTTCAATCCTAGGCCAAAATGAGCCGTTCCCCCCTTGCTATGAGGGGGGTAGCTCCACTGCAAAGGGTTCATCCTTTAAATTCCCAGAGTTCCGCTTTAATAAGACTAATTTACGATTCCGTGTTTTCAGTGACAAGGAGAGGAAGCTTTCACCTCCACCCTTAGTACATTGTCCCGCGCTAATTTAAATCTGAATTATAGTGACAGGTCCTCTTTTTAAAAGGAGTCTGTCGCCATTATCAAGATTAAATATGGTTTTTTTTTAAGGGAAACCTACTATGAGAGAAGTATGGAAGCCCCTCCCTCATTTACTCCCTTTGGAAATGGCCATTGCGCCCAAGTAATTTGTGAGTCACTGACCGGGAAGATGTATGCAGACCGGGGGTTTGACTTCTCACAGTCAGCGATTCAGAAAATATTGAAGCAATGGTAACAGCCAGACAAAATAGGATTTTCAGGGGCAGGCCTTAGTGCTGCGCAGGGGTGGGGCTTAATATCGACTTTGGCAGAAGTCGAGGCTCCACATACAGCCCAGTCCCAAAGATCCAAGGGACCATGCATGGATATGAGATCAATCTGAAGACTTAAAGGAGAACTATGAGGGGAGTGATTTCCACTCATCCTCATAGTTAGAGCCGACCTGTGACAATGAAACTGTCATAGGTCGGCTCTATCGATCGGGAAGTGAGTAGAAACATGCAGCCGATCCGCTCACCTCCCCATCGTCTCCCTGCAGAGAGCGGTGACTGTCCCCGGAGGGATTCCCCCCCCCCCTCTTCGATCCTCCAGCGCTGAGTGGAGGAATGAATAGGGGAGGGGGCGGGCACAGCTGGCTCTAGATAGGCCGAGCACGCTGTCACTCACGCAGCTGGGTGGATCCAGACAGTATTGTCAGGATCCGTTTCGGCTGCAGCGCTCTCAGTATATAGTGAACAATAGCCCGCTATATCCTGAGCTTTGGGTCCCGGGAGCAGGTAAGTATATGTCCTCCTGTGACCCTAAAGAGAACTATGGGGAAAATCACTTCATAGTTCTCTTTTAAGCTAGGCCATACACAGATTAAATCTCGACCCCGAAATAACACAACCAATAAAAAACAGACCCCCTTCTCTACATGCCAGTAGTCATAGGGGTGGGTTTTTAAAGAATCTGCAGGACCATTCACTTTGTGAATAGCTGTGAATGTTCCTCCTGTGCGTATATATGCGCAAATAAATTATCTTTCGTTTTTTACCTCGACAAGTGTAATTAAATGTGCACGATCTGGTTGTAATATCACATTATGGCCCCTAGATGGCACAGGAGCACAGGAAATATGCATTCATTTTCAATCTGCCTGTAGTGCCATCTAGTGACCGTAATGTGATATTAGAAGAAGAATGTTCAAATTTTAAATGGAACAAAAAAACTAAAGATCGTTTGTTTGTTCATATATATAATATATAACGGTATATACATACATACACAGGATTATGGTCACAGATTTTTATAGGATGAAAGGCCCTGCAGATTCTTTATCAATCAACCCGAAAGGTTTTCCAAAATTACCCATACATGCACATGGATACACAGATTCACTATCTGCACATGGCATAGATGCAGCATTCAAGGATTTTTTTTTAACCTTGCTGATAATTGGAGCAAAATTGAAAGAATTAGCTTTCAATGGCATATTGTGTTTTGTTATGTCTGCACAGACTTTCAAAGCCTCTATGGTCTCCAATGAGAACTCTGCCAGCTTTTCTATAGGGGTGGGGGGGGTGTGTGGATCCGCACTCGTCTACGGTAATCTGAGTATGTTACCTGGGCACCCGCTGCCAATTTTTGCGCTTGCCCTGCATGCAGTTTAAAAGGTAACTACAGTTAGTATTGCGATGTTATTATCCGATGGAGCGTTTACATTGTTCACATGCTTGGGCGTATCACATTTCCCCTTTTCTGTAGCATGTATTATGGTCTGCAGATACTCCCTTCAATGGCGTAGTGAATATGGCTGTTCTCAAGTACATATAGAATTACACGCTACAAGGTTTGTTTGCTTTTTAACATTAACACGCATGAATATTTACATTTATGATCCGTTTCACATGTGTGTCTAAAAAAAACAAAAACATTGAACAGACTAAAGTTTCCTTTAAGTGCAATTCTTAGATGAGTCTGGTTGCTTTAAATCGATTTTAACTGCGTTTTTCTCATGCATGTGTTACTGCGGTCACACTGCAGCATGCCGTTTTTAAAGGAACACCCTGCACTGGTGCATAGTAGTGTCTTGCAGTTTCCCTGTGAATGGGGCATGCCTTAAAGGGTCAGTCTACCCAAAAGTGATACAATAGGTGGGCGGAGTTAGCCTCTGACTTCTTATATGTCTTGGATCAGTGGGGGCCAATATACACGGTATAGGAGGCCTCAAAGGTGAGCCCTGACATCACTGAGGGGCTGCACATAATATTTAATATATATAATGCTGCGGAAGGCTGTCAGAGGCAGTGGGCAGCCTTCAGGAGATGGTCAAAGACTGTGGATGTGCTACAGGAGTGGTTGGAGACTAGAGTCATACTGCAGGAGAGACTGGGGACGTGCTACCTGAGAGTGCTAGAGACCATTACAACCTGTGATTTCACTCCCAGTAATGGCTGCTGGGATCTAAGGGCCACCCAACAAGTACTATAGGGCCGCAGGTTGGGCACAAGGTTCTTGGATGCTCCAGCAGTGAGACCTCTGTCTCTGTTTCTTCACTTTTATTACTGGACGTTTTGGGTGTTCCCACTCTCCTTTGCACATTCTGGCCCCTCCTGTTACATTCGCCATAATATAAATTACATTTAAAAATATCCAGCAGGCATGGGGGGAGCTCCTCATAATGGCCACAGCAGGTGCGCAGACCTGGTAACTCACTAGTGCCTCAGAGGTGCATGGACCTCACTAGTGCCCCAGAGGTGCATGGACCTCACTAGTGCCCCAGAAGTGCATGGACCTCACTAGTGCCCCAGAGGTGCATGGACCTCACTAGTGCCCCAGAAGTGCATGGACCTCACTAGTGCCCCAGAGGTGCATGGACCTCACTAGTGCCCCAGAAGTGCATGGACCTCACTAGTGCCCCAGAGGTGCATGGACCTCACTAGTGCCCCAGAGCTCACTAGTGCCTAAAGGTGCATGGACATCACTAGTGCCCCCGAGGTGCATGGACCTCACTAGTGCCCCAGAGGTGCATGGACCTCACTAGTGCCCCAGAGGTGCATGGACCTCACTAGTGCCCCAGACCTCACTAGTGCCTAAAGGTGCATGGACATCACTAGTGCCCCCGAGGTGCATGGACCTCACTAGTGCCCCAGAGGTGCATGGACCTCACTAGTGCCCCAGAGGTGCATGGACCTCACTAGTGCCCCAGACCTCACTAGTGCCCCAGAGGTGCATGGAGTTCACCAGTACCCAAGAGATATAACAAACGGTCAGAGGCTTTAACTCTCCAGCATCTACCAAACACCGAAATATCAGTTTTGGATGGGCTGACCCTTTAAACCAGGAATCACAAAAGGCATGTAAAAGCCCCCCACCTACTCATTTCATTTGGTAACAACAAAACTTTGTCAACTCTCCATTCCACGTAATAGATAGAATGCTGTGCAGAGATTCTACTTGGCTGCAAAATGTGTGTGAGAAAAGAGAGGTGTATGGCCAATAGTTTCTGTTGAATGATACCATTAATGCTACATCATACAATGACATTTTAGACAATTGATCACTTCTAACAGTGGTTTGGTGAAGGCCCTTTTCTGTTCCAGTATGACTGTGCCCCTGTGCACAACGCCAACTCCATAAAGACATGAGTTTGTTGAGTTCGGTGAGGAGGAACTTGAGTGGCCTTCACAGGACCCTGACCTCAACCCTACTGAACAGCTTTGTGATGTGGCAGGTCTTTCCTGCCAACAACATCAGTTGGCCTTACAGTTGCTCTTTCGGCTGAATCTTGTGGAAAGCTCTCTCAGAAGAGCAGAGGCTGCAATAGCCAAGGGGGATGGGAGAGGGTAAGGGCAACTGCATATTAATGGTATTGGCTTTGGAATTGGATGATCAACAAGCTCACACAGGAGTTATGATCAGGTGTCCACAAACTTTTGGTCATATTCTATTTCCAAAGATGGTTATTTCACTGACCCACCTTATGCTATCAAATTTGCCGAAAAGCAGACCTACACTTTAAAAGTAAAAAAAAATAATCAAAAAGTTGGCTGACAGACATAAAACAGTGATATTGGAATTGTACTTCCCCATTGTTGTCCTTCCCTTTCCTATCCTGACATGGTATCTTAAAAGCTTTCATGGCAGATGCTGGTAGATACAGTGTGTGCTATATTGTCTTATGTGCTTTGTCGATTTGTAGCTGTCCAACCAGTGCTGATGGCGATGCGTTATTTTCTGTTTGGCGTTCCTATTATCTTTAACACTGACGCGAGTCTTAGGTAGCAGCTCTGGCGAGAACCAGACTGCCTGGAGGCCTTATCCTATGATGTTTGCTCAAATCAATTATTGCATAATTTCATTTGCACAAGCGGCATATCCATGGCGCGTGCGGAGACGGGCTCCTAGCTGCAACTGCCCGTGTGTACGCGCAAGATGCCCTTGCTGTGCATATGGATGAAGTTGAAGAGCTCAGAAGGCATGGCATGGAAGCCTGGTCGAGGCTTGACATTGTCATAGTAGTGGTGGGTAATAAAGATCCCTGATGGGTTCATAGGGAAACCCCAAAATCCATAGAGGTGGACCTCATCACACAGTTCAAGAGCGGTGGTCACCAGGATCAGGCCACTGCTGATGCGTTTCGCGCGTACGCCTTGAATGAACCAGAAACGGGAGACGTTGAAGAGATACTGTGGGTGGAAATAATAGACGGACTGCTGGGACTCAAAGTCGTCCAAGACGTACTTGACTCGGATGGACACATCTGTGTTGCGGGTGTTGTAGAAGGCAGGGAGGAGGATAGAGGCGTTCTCATAACCCTGTAGCACGTCGTAGAAAGGTTTCCGCCATTTCTCCAGCTTCTGGAACCTGGAAACCAAATAATAGTCATCAGTGTCCAGCTTGTATTGGTCTTAAAGGGACACTGTTACTTTTCATGACAGGGGCAATGTCTGCTGACAGCCCACCCCTTAAATGACTTATACTCACCAATCCAAACTTCTTCGCTGGGGCTTCTGGGTATGGGGCAAGTGATCTTAACCATGTGACAATGCTTGGGTCTGAGTGTCCAATCACTAGGCTTGAACACTTGTGATAGGGCAGTGACATAAAGCACCTGGGTAAGATGCAACACTGGGTGGACTGAGGCTAGGTTCACACCTAGGCGATTCAGATGGCGAGCTGTTTTTGCGCCGTTGTCACACATTTTCGATTGTGCGACTGTCCATTGTAAACCGCGCGATTGTCGCGCGCTTTTCAATGCATAGAGATATCTATGGGACCCAAACCGTGTGACAACCGCCCGAAAATAGCTCCTGCTCCTTTTCGCGCGATTTTGGTCGCGCGACAAACCGCAAAGGTGTGAGCAGCCTCCATTGACTTCATTGCGAATCTGTGTGTTGCGCGATATCGTGCGCGATAAATCGCCTAGGTGTGCATCGGCCCTTATGCAGCAGAGAGGTGGTGAAAGAGCATGAATCAGTGAGTATACCTTGAAGGAGGGGGTGGGCTATCAGGAGACAATGGCTAGGCCACATGACAGTGTCTTTAAAAATTGTCCTGGACCATGGAGCCACATTTTTGCCCATAGATAACCATCTATCTGGCCACCTCTTGTGGTCTGTTTTTGGAAATCCAAACAGTGGCAAAGGACAATCGATCAGGAGGAAGATCTGGGTCAATGTGGTTGATCAAAGGTTTCACAATTCTTCTGACCGGTGTCTGGAGGTAAAAAGGCTGCAAACTGACCTTCTGCTGCATTATAAATAAACCACCTATTTCCACCCATTTATGTCACCCCTAAAATTGCAGGTCAATTAATTTTCCACGTGTGTATGAAGCTTCTCAGGCTACAAACCCTCCAAAATGATGGTTTCCCCCTATGGCTCCTTTACCCTTTGAAGTCAAATATGAGTGAACATTTCTGACCTCTCGGTTATAATGCTTGGGTTGATTGTCACCACATCTGTCTTCATCCCGACATCTGCCACGTATTTTTTAGAGATAGGAGGTAAATTGCACCTTAAAACACAAAAATGAACACACTGTTAAAGGGAGAGTATATTGGAATCCCAGTGAGCACTTATTCTGAGTAGTCATTCATTACCCTGAAGCCTTTTTATATACCTTTCTTGTTTTTCACAAGCATGCTCAAACAAATCTATGTCATATTATTAAATATAGAAATCTGCACATTAGCCACTGCAGGGAGAGTTCATTAGTCCCTACCATCACTCAACCTCCCTGCCTAACAGCTGCTGCTGAGTTAAGCTGTCGGCCACACATTGTTTTCATTAGGTCGGCCGACTCATAGACTTACATCATGAGAAGAAGCGGTAAAGCACAGCCATTGTGTAGCACTGCAAAGCAGGAAGCAGAGCCTTCATGTGTAATGTACAAATATGGGTGCCCCCATGTATATATGTGATAACACATTATGCACAGCCCATAGATTTCAGTCATAATAAAGCCATTTTACAACAAGTGGGAGCAGCAAAACTATCACAGCAGTGGTTATGCCGTATGACCGTCCACTATAAAGAGGGTCTTCAAATCCACACTGCAGTCAGTGGTAGTAAAAAATGGGCCAGTGTTGGTGGTTGGTTGTCAGTGGGAGTTAAAAAACCCTCCAGCTCCAGTGGTCAAAGGGAGGAGGAATACTGCCCCATCATTGGTAGCAGGGGGAGAAATAGTAGCCCATGGTTGGTGTATGTGGGAGAAATAGTGGCCCCTGGTTGGTGTCAGTGGAAAGAATAGTGCCCCATGGCTGGTGTCCGTGGGAGGATTACAGCCCCATAGTTGGCGTCAGTAGGTAAAATAGTGCCCCATTGTTGGTGTCAGTGGATGAAATAGTGCCCCATTGTTGGTGTCATTGGGAGGATTAGTGCCCCATGTTTGGTGTCAATGGGTGGAATAGAGCCCCCATGGTTGCTGTCAGTGGAAGGAATAGTGTCCCACAGTTGCTCTATGTGGGAGAAAAAGCAGCCCATGGTTGATTTCCTATTGTTGGTGTCAGTGGGAGGAATAGTGCCCAATCATTGCTATTAGTGGGAGGAATAATGTCCCATCATTGGTGTCACTGGGAGGAATAGTGCCCCATCATTGGTGTCAGGGGGAAGAATAGTGCCCCATCATTGGTGTCAGGGGGAAGAATAGTGCCCCATCATTGGTGTCAGGGGGAAGAATAGTGCCCCATCATTGGTGTCAGGGGGAAGAATAGTGCCCCATCATTGGTGTCAGGGGGAAGAATAGTGCCCCATCATTGGTGTCAGGGGGAAGAATAGTGCCCCATCATTGGTGTCAGGGGGAAGAATAGTGCCCCATCATTGGTGTCAGGGGGAAGAATAGTGCCCCATCATTGGTGTCAGGGGGAAGAATAGTGCCCCATCATTGGTGTCAGGGGGAAGAATAGTGCCCCATCATTGGTGTCAGGGGGAAGAATAGTGCCCCATCATTGGTGTCAGGGGGAAGAATAGTGCCCCATCATTGGTGTCAGGGGGAAGAATAGTGCCCCATCATTGGTGTCAGGGGGAAGAATAGTGCCCCATCATTGGTGTCAGGGGGAAGAATAGTGCCCCATCATTGGTGTCAGGGGGAAGAATAGTGCCCCATCATTGGTGTCAGGGGGAAGAATAGTGCCCCATCATTGGTGTCAGGGGGAAGAATAGTGCCCCATCATTGGTGTCAGGGGGAAGAATAGTGCCCCATCATTGGTGTCAGGGGGAAGAATAGTGCCCCATCATTGGTGTCAGGGGGAAGAATAGTGCCCCATCATTGGTGTCAGGGGGAAGAATAGTGCCCCATCATTGGTGTCAGGGGGAAGAATAGTGCCCCATCATTGGTGTCAGGGGGAAGAATAGTGCCCCATCATTGGTGTCAGGGGGAAGAATAGTGCCCCATCATTGGTGTCAGGGGGAAGAATAGTGCCCCATCATTGGTGTCAGGGGGAAGAATAGTGCCCCATCATTGGTGTCAGGGGGAAGAATAGTGCCCCATCATTGGTGTCAGGGGGAAGAATAGTGCCCCATCATTGGTGTCAGGGGGAAGAATAGTGCCCCATCATTGGTGTCAGGGGGAAGAATAGTGCCCCATCATTGGTGTCAGGGGGAAGAATAGTGCCCCATCATTGGTGTCAGGGGGAAGAATAGTGCCCCATCATTGGTGTCAGGGGGAAGAATAGTGCCCCATCATTGGTGTCAGGGGGAAGAATAGTGCCCCATCATTGGTGTCAGGGGGAAGAATAGTGCCCCATCATTGGTGTCAGGGGGAAGAATAGTGCCCCATCATTGGTGTCAGGGGGAAGAATAGTGCCCCATCATTGGTGTCAGGGGGAAGAATAGTGCCCCATCATTGGTGTCAGGGGGAAGAATAGTGCCCCATCATTGGTGTCAGGGGGAAGAATAGTGCCCCATCATTGGTGTCAGGGGGAAGAATAGTGCCCCATCATTGGTGTCAGGGGGAAGAATAGTGCCCCATCATTGGTGTCAGGGGGAAGAATAGTGCCCCATCATTGGTGTCAGGGGGAAGAATAGTGCCCCATCATTGGTGTCAGGGGGAAGAATAGTGCCCCATCATTGGTGTCAGGGGGAAGAATAGTGCCCCATCATTGGTGTCAGGGGGAAGAATAGTGCCCCATCATTGGTGTCAGGGGGAAGAATAGTGCCCCATCATTGGTGTCAGGGGGAAGAATAGTGCCCCATCATTGGTGTCAGGGGGAAGAATAGTGCCCCATCATTGGTGTCAGGGGGAAGAATAGTGCCCCATCATTGGTGTCAGGGGGAAGAATAGTGCCCCATCATTGGTGTCAGGGGGAAGAATAGTGCCCCATCATTGGTGTCAGGGGGAAGAATAGTGCCCCATCATTGGTGTCAGGGGGAAGAATAGTGCCCCATCATTGGTGTCAGGGGGAAGAATAGTGCCCCATCATTGGTGTCAGGGGGAAGAATAGTGCCCCATCATTGGTGTCAGGGGGAAGAATAGTGCCCCATCATTGGTGTCAGGGGGAAGAATAGTGCCCCATCATTGGTGTCAGGGGGAAGAATAGTGCCCCATCATTGGTGTCAGGGGGAAGAATAGTGCCCCATCATTGGTGTCAGTGGGGGAATAGTGCCTCATCATTGGTGTCAGTGGGGGAATAGTGCCTCATCATTTGTTTTAGTGATCGGAATAGTGACCGTTGGTGTCATTGGTATTTGGCAAGCTCACCGCCTCCCAGTATTGGTATTTAGTGGCACTTGCCATTGTTTAAGTTTCATATCCTGTGCTGCTCCTCTGCATGCCAGATGATTTAATGGCAGAAATTAGACAGGCACTGTTGAGCAGGAGGTAACTCCACATGACGGTGTCTGCATAAATACATTACCTTATATTCTATTTTCTGGCACCCATTGTAACTCTGTATACAGCAGCACCAATATACAAAGAGAAGTCTCTACATTTAGTGGGTCTTAGTTTGGAGGCCGCTACTACAGCATCCAATCAGATTCCAGGTTACCAGAGTCAGATAGATAAAAGGCTAATTATGAATAATATAATTCTTGTTGTTTTGGATTAACACACCTGACCCCGAGGGCCAAGAAACGATGGGAATAATCTGAATTTCAATTACCTGTAGACAAAATCTGCACTGTCTATTTCTTTTCCACATTTGCTTTTTTTCAATATTCCTCCATTGCCCACCACAGCACACTTCCTAAACTGAGACCGAGAATAAGGCATATCCTGTGAGAAATAAAACACAACAACCGTCATAACAGACTCAATGGCTTTACAACTCACGACATAATATCCCTCTTCATCTATCAGTTGTACGCGATCGGTGGCTGCGTCCACTGCTTTTGTATTGGAAATGTTGTCCCTTACTTAATTCCTGTTGCATGTATTCTTGAAAACTTGTTCAATAAAATAATTTATAAAAAAAAATAATTTCCCTCTTCAGTTTGGATCATATAAAAGAGTATATACACACTATATGGCCAAAACGTTGTAGGCACCACACCTACTATATGGGCAAAAGTATGTAGAAACCTCACCAAGTTACTGAGCTCAGATGTTTCCAATGAAGGGCATGGTTAATGCTACTAGGCACTTCCACATGTGTGGTAACAGATTGGTGAAGAGCTTTTTCTGTTCCAGCATGACTGTGCCCCTGTATTCAAAGCCAACTCCATAAAGACATGGTCTAATGAGTTTGGTGTGAAGGAACTCGGGTGGCCTGCACATGATCTGAACCCTACAGCACACCTTTGTGATGAACTGGAACACCAATTACGAGCCAGGTCTTCTTCTTCTTCAACATCAGTACCTGACCTCAAAAATGATCTTTTGGCTGAATGGGTACAAATTCCCACAAACACCATCCAAAGTCTTAAAGTAGTATTAAGGTCTGGGCGTTTTTTACCTTAATGTATTCTTTGCATTAGGGTAAAAACGGCCCAGCACCTTTTTTCTACCCCAGTCCCCTCCACACTTACCTGTCAGCTGCGCTCGTCCCCGCCGCCGGTCCGAAGCGATCCCCGAACATCCGGGTTGCGGAGGGAAGATATTGATGGCAGAGGAGCCATGGCTCCTTCTGCCATCAATTAAAGAGGGAAGGGGCATGGCCTGCCACAGGGCTGTGTGTGTCTATGGACGCACTCAGCCACTGCGGAAACGAGCGTGCACGGGTGCCTCCACTAGAACGATGGTGGCACCCGTGCAGGGGGTGGGGGGAAAAGCGCTGTTGGGAGCCACTAAAAAAGGAGGAATTAGAAACTTTTAAAGAAAAAGAGCAACAGCCTCCAGCAAAGGAGGGTCTCCTTAAAGGAGAAATTTAAAAAAATAGGCTTTAATATAACTTTAAGAAAAGCCTTCCCAGAGGAGTGGAGGCTGTTATAGTTGGAAACGATGGGGAAGGGCACAACCTTACATTAATGTTCACGGTTTTGGCATGGGATGTCCAACAAGCTCACAAGGGGTGATGACCAGATATCTACAAACGTTTGGCCATATAGTGTATGTTACAGTACCCAAAAATATCAGTGGTGGGATTGACCTTTAAAAACATTTGTATACATTCCTGAAAAAGAAATGGCAAACATATCTCCTCTATTTCTATACATATATTGCTGCACTTTTTTTAGCAGTATAGTCATTTTGGAACTGGGAGTATTTATCATTTAACATGGAACTCCAGCCCAACCCTTTTTTGGATAATGGGTAGTAAAGATTTATGGTTTATATTGCTGGCTATGATCCCAATGAAGAGATATCTCCGCACTTCCTGTCTCCATGACCACTGTCCCTTGGACTAAAGGAAATCCTTCCCAGTAGGTCAATTAAAACGTGACAGAGGTTTTTATATTAAACAAAATAGTTTGCACTGGAAGTAGGTATGTCGGCACCAGCCGCAACAATGTATGTATAGATGTAAAATGGAAGGCTTGTATGTTGCGCTCGGTTCAAAATCTATTTGGTTTGTCCGTGATATATCATCAAATCAATAGTTTATATAAGTCGATGTGGTGAAAGGTGATAATACAATTAAATGAACACAATCTATATAAAAACTAATGTGTATATACTAAATGTGGATGTGTGATCACAAATGCTAATAAATAAAGTATGTGAAAAAACTGAGTGATGGCTTTTAAGCGGAAGTGACTTGAAAAGTATCAAAAAGTGCTAAATAGCCGTGTCTAGTACAAACTGTGAACCCAAAGGCGCACAGTGAAATTGGTGCAAAAAAATGGATTGTGTACTGCCGTCTAAGTGAAATCTACCTATGAATTATTGTGCCAGACAATAAAACAGTGAGATGGTGATCTAGAGCAGTGGTTCTCAACTCGTGGGTCGCGACCCAAAAGTGGGTCGCGACACCCTCTGCAGTGGGTCGCGGCGTCATGTCTGCATAGACCGGCCCATCTGCATTAGAGAGAACTAGAGGGGGAATTTGTGGTTCAGCCTGTGGAACCTCATAATGTCAAACTGTCCCCTCTCTCCCGGCCTCCCCCGGGCTCTCCGATAAAGTGGTATGGCCCGGGGAGAGAGGGGACTATTTCCTCACTTTCGGGCCGGCGCATTAATATCGGGCCGCGGCGCCCGACAATTAAGTAATAGTTCCGGTCTGCACGGGAGAGTACAGCAGATATCAATCCGCCGCTGTATCTACTGTACTCTCCAGTCCAGATAGTTCAGTCGGCTGGAATCAGAGAAAGGTAGG